GACATAAAATCTACTCAATATTTTCCCTTTAATGAATGAGCCACACGAGACATTCATTCTCAGGTTTCATTCTACTTTATTAACCAAAATTGGAATACAGTTACCTGACTGTCATCTCTGCTTAAAGCATAACTATTTATTAAGCATTAATCTTAGCATTTGAGGAGAGTGAGTATAAAGGTAAAAATAAGACAGAATTTTAAACACTTCCCTACAATGTTAGCCACATTAGTAATTAGTGATTCTCAATAAGGAATGTCTCTTATCCAAACACGGTCTCTGACAGAATAATGGGTTTCTTTAGTTCCACGCGTAAAACATTTTGACCTTGCAATGTACCATAATATTAGTGGGGTTTCATTCAAATAAATGTGAAGCTGAGTGAATGCTGAAATGACCCAGAAAAGGGTAGAAAGTTTTAGAACTGAATTTGTCAAGAGACAGGGGATAACCAGGAGAGATGGAGGGAGGAAAACAGGAAATGTTAAAATTTTTCATAAATGTTAAAAATATATTTTTCTCAAACGACAAAATTCTAGATGCCATAATCCAGGCCAGAATATCAGGGCCTAGGTTTTTTTTTTTTTTTTTTTTTTTTGTCTTCAGATTTCTACTGCTAATATGAGCATACAACTTTTATTTTTATAGCTACATGTAAGTGTAGCTTTAGGTTCATGCCTGAATTTCAAGAACAAAAGTTGTGCGAAGGTCAAAAAGTACCAATAATGCTTATCTGAGTTTTCTCCACAGAAAGTTTTTACACTTCTATATTGTAGAACTCTGCTTAGGTTCTCATATTTAAAACTGGATCACAAAAATCCATCAGCAGGCATCATAAACTTGTCTTTGTTGTTTCCACTGTAACTGTTTTCTTTCTTAATTTCTTCTGCTCTCACTTTACATTGAGAAATAGTTTAAATACCAAAACGTGTACATACGGACAGTACTATATGGAAATAATTACTAAGGAGTTTACCAATGTCATCCGTGGCCAGATGAAGACCTGGCACATTGATGGCCCTGCAAACATTTGCTTGAATTTCTTTTTGGTAACTGTATTTAATATGCAAAGTGTATATTCTTTGGTAGTGGACTAGTTACCCTTAAAAAGGGGGAAAATAATGAATGTCGGATATGAAATTGGCGGGATATGTCACAGAAAGCCAGACACTAACTTGCTCTGGAGATGAAAAGACATGGGAATAATCATAGTGACTCAGGATATAATGTGATGAACCCCCAAAATACATCATGGCCCAATCTCATGAGGGTGAGACCTGAAAAGCAGAGAATAGGCAAGTATACCTGAGCAGAAAACTGAGATTTATTCTGAGCCCCCCCCCCAAATTTGTGCACTAAAAAACTTTTTGCCAGCATGGAGTTTGTCTCTGCAGACCGTGTGTGTGTGTGTGTGTGTGTGTGTGTGTGTGTGTGTGTGTGCTTTTGTGTGCATTTTCCTATCTCAAAATACCCAATTTAGAGTACATATTCTTAAACGGAATAACAATCATGACTTGAGATATTGTAGTGAGAAAAATACTGTTTGAACATTATATAGACTGAAGTTAAAAATTCAGCTCCATGACTTAATGGCCTTAAAACATTTCCTAGTTATAAAAAAATCATTGGCCAATAACCAACCTGACTTATTTATGGAAGATAAAGACTTAAAGCCAGAATTCTTTTTTTAATGATGACTGATAAAATATTTGGAGTACATTATTTGGTCTCTTTACTTTGATTAATTTCTAATAAAGACATTTTTATCTAATGTCCTAATGACAAACCCTAAAATGTATTCAAATGCTATAATCCACATGCTAAAATCTGACTCCTCTGCATGACTCTAAAGGTGACAGAAGAGAGCTGGGGTCACCTCGGTCAAAGGGAAGAATGCCAAAAGTTTTTTGGCCTGGGTGACCAAAATGTTTTTGGACTTAATTAATGTCCCCTGGGCTTTGACCATCTACTGCTTTGTGAAACAGTGCAATTTTTTTTCAGAACTTATTTCAGTCATTTTCTAAATCTCAAATTGTTTTTGATTGTCAAGACTGAGAAACTATTTAGATATGTGCAGAACTGGACATAAGTGTGGGTCCTTGTCTTTTAAAGTAACTTTTGATTAACCAAATACCTATTTATAAGCATTTATGCCCAGAGACTGAACTTCAGAACTACGAGGGTGCTGTTCTATTTTTCAGCTCAGAAATGTCAAGAAAAATGTTTTCAAGTATCAAAATTCGAATGGAAGCTGAAAAGAGTGAGAATGAGTTAACTCGTGGGTATCATTTATTGACCTAGTTGAGGTCACCGGAAGGGGTTCATGTATGCTTTCTTTGGCCTCAAATGCATATCATGGACAGGGTAATCTGTAAAGAATATTTAGCTTGAGCTCCTGAAGGCCTAGAATTACCAGTATGTACTCAGCATGTGATGAAAGCTCCCCTGCTAGGTGATGGTGTGACATGGGACACAGCATGGGGAAGGGACAGAAAAGCTCTTTGCAGCTGCGGTCTCCCAACTTCTCCTTCTAAAGGTAATAAGTTAATCATGGAACCTCATACGTATTATTACCACTAATCCTAATTAGTTCTAGAGGTGTCTACCTTGAAATACCAATAGCATACATTTGGGGATTAAGTTTCTGAACATATGATTTTAGTAATATATTCAAATCAGAGCAACACTTATCTTCCTGTTTCCAAAATTGGAGTATTCAGGCTTATAAAATGTATCATTTGCCCAATATCATATTACCAGTATAGATGCAATGATAGAAATCCTAGAGCATGCAATATGAACTTTAGACTCTTAACACCTGTCATCTTTACCACTTTAGAATAATATAAAATAATCAAATTAATGCTTAAATACCATCAGTAGCAGCCTACTATTTCATAAAAGAGTCATATGATACAATTTTGGAAAGATTTAATAAAGACAGTTGAGTTTCATATGGGAAGATCTAAGTTCTGTGAAGTTCCAGTGTCTTAGATCTCTCTGTATAACTCATTCGGTTTGTTAGGATGTATTTATCATCAGACTTTCCTTTGTTGTAGTCTATGGATCTCTGAAGTTACTCAAATGTAAAATTTCATTTCCTCCTTGAGTTTTGTTTGATTTCAACCCATGGAAGAAGAAGACATTATCATTGACAAATATGTCTTCAAAACTAAATTCAGGGAAAACCTTATATTTGAAGTAGAAAACTATGATATTTAAAAGACAGAATTAAATTATTTACTACTATACTCACAGGGCCAAAATACCTCTTGAGACCTGATAAACACGAATAAATACTATATGAATGCAAACTCTAACCTAAAATGAAAGTCACTTACCTCAAGACACAGCGAGAAGTGAGACAATAACTCACGCCCCGCACTTCTCAAAGCCTAAAATCAGGCCAAGTCAAATACTGTTTGCAGAGCTCACCAGTTTGAGTTGGAAATCTGCCCAAGTCGATGTCTTTTTCAGTTTACTAAGACAGCTCACTTCATGGAGTATAGAACTCTTTTTCCTACTCTGTGCACTTAGTTTGTATGCATTTGTGTTTAGGTTCTAGATCTTTTTGGAAGGCCCAGAGGGTTTTATCCTAGGGCTCCAGGTTTAGATTGAGAAGTCTAGTTCATTCACAAGGAGTTCTCGGACTGCCGGGTTCATCCAGAAAACCTGTTTCACTTTATAAAAAAGGAAGCCTCTCCTCAGTCCCTAAATTTCTCATTTCCTGGAGGGCATAATGCACTTTACGAATGATTCCTCCGGGAAAGCAGTAGTTTGCCAAAGGTCCCTAAAACATCCATTTGCAGGTGTCACTACTTGGTAAATGTGCTGGACGGAACCCTGTATGAGGAGAGAGAATGTGGTAAAAAGGATTGTTCTGTGAGCCGGTAAGTTACAGAATTCTGCCCATGAAACTTTGTCTAGAAATTTAAACTAAATGTTACAAATATATTGGAAGTTTAGAGACGGTCAGAGAGTAAAGGAATCATTTTACTGCATTAGAATGTGTGCTTTCCTTCTTGTTCTCACGTAGCAAAAAATTACTCTCCCTAAAGTACGCGTTGGGTAAAATTACTCTCGGTCAGAGCTTCTTAAAGTGTGTTCAGGACTCCAGGTGTCCCCCAGGACCCTGCCAAGGCTTCATTGATTCAATGCTGTTTTCAGACAACATAACCTTGTTCAATTTTATTCTTCTGCAAGGATCCAACTAACTTTTCCAGAAGCTTCAGAACATGTGATTTTTTTTAATGAACGAAAGGCAGTTGGAGATATGAGAATCCTGCAAAATATTGCTGTTGGTACTATTTGTTGCTTGTTTTCGAACATACAGGTATGCTTCACAAAAATGTTGTGTGCGTTAAAAGGTGATGGTGTTATTTTAAGTGAATTAACAATATTTAGAGTGTGTGAGCTTCAATGGCTGGTATCAACAGTGATAGCACTGATCAGGAAAAATTTTAACAGGGCAAAGTGTGAAGTTCCAAAAGTTTGAGAACTGTTATTCCTGATGACTTTGAGTGTAAACACTTATCAGAGTAATCTTGGGTCTGAAACAGTTTGGGGAGCATAAGAACTGTCCATAAAGTGGGGGACATAGAATATAAAAGTAAAGCTGTGGCTGCATAAAAATATCAGAGGGTTTAGAAATTTTGAAAAACCCTATATTGAATCTCTAATTGTTTCTTTTCATTTATTTTTTATTAAATTACTTATTTTATTTTGAATTGTCAATTTATTTTAGTTTTAGTTTTCTCTGTTTTAGTTTTACCATTTTGGAAAAAATAAACTTCAAGTCTGACTAAATGTTTATAAAACACTAATATCTAAATAATTTCTGTGAAGAAAAATGAGGCCACTGTAAGTGATTCAGGAATAAAAACAAGTTGAGTTCATAATCTCTTTGTTAACCACATGAATTCAGGCAGCCAACCTTACCTCCCCACATCTCAGTTTTCATATCTAGAGAATGTTAATAATAATCACAATAACCACCTCTGTTTCTATTTCAGAATTTATTCCTATTAATCACTTGATACATAGTGATAGTCTTGCTTCTTACTTATATTACAGTGTTGATATACTGATTAACTACTGTCCTGTTTACAAGCACTTCAAAACACTGAAATTTAAAGCAATTACCATCGCACTTATTTCACCATCCAAGGACTGGCCAGGGCTCAGCCAGCCTGACTTGCTTTCCCTCACATGTCTCAGTTTGGATGGTGCCTGGGCTGGTGCTTTTCTCCCAAGCATCCTCTATTTGGCCTCTCTCTGCACATGGTAAATTACTCTACATGTCATTGTCATGTGACCATCATTTTGGGATGCCTAATTTGGGCCCCTGATATGTAGATTCTATGAAAAGTTTATATAACTCTTTAAAATTCACATTTTCAACCTAAATGTCTAGCATGAGATTTCAGGAGATGAGTCATTGAGAGTTACAGCATGAGAATGTGTCCCTAAGCAGATGAGTGCTTTGGTAAGTGCATGCAGGGTTCTCTCTCTTTCTTCCCTGTGGGACCATGAGAAGAGTAGTCATGTGAGTTCAGAAGGACCTGCCTCACCCTCGCACCTCACCCTTACGCTTCCTAGCCTCTAGCACAGGAAGAAATAAAATGTTGTATAAATTATCTTGTAGTCTTAGCCATTTTACTGTTACTTGGACCAAATTTCTAATACCTGCAATTTACTGGAGGTTTGTTTGTTTAGTTTTTAGCTCAAATTCTATGAAATTAATCCATAGTCATCTTGCTCCAAGGTAGGAAAAGCATGGTAGAGGGCATGAGGAGGGAAAGCTGCTCACTGCATGGCAACCAGGAAGGAGAGAGAGAAAGAAGGATGAGAAAACATACTTCCCAGTCATGACCCGCGGCCCCTTCTGATGAGACCCCACCTTAGAATGGAGATTTCATGGGGCAGTTTAGTGACAAGACATCACATCCCTAGTGCCATTTTGTACTTTCTAATGGCTGCCTAAAATAACTGAATTTCAAGAAGCTAAGAGCAGACCCCGCAGCTACGAATTCCTAGAACACTGCTTCCTCCACATATTATTGGGGAAATCAGTCACTGCTTAAAAGGGAGAAGACATGAATTTCTTTTATTGAAGGGTTGAGCAGCACGTCTACATTAGAATGTCTAAAGATCAACCTCTATGAGTCTAAAGAATTAAATTACAAATGATTGTCACTATTTATTACATTGGTCCTATGTATTCATTACTTCAGCATCCTAGTTTCGTTACATAGAGATTTGACAATGGAATCTCAGCTTTGTAAATGGTAGAACCAGCATGTTTGTGTTAATAATGCATTCTGAGTATATCATAGCAGAAAATACTGGGAGAATGAGGGATCCTGAGTCAGTGCTTCAAGGGAACTTATCGACCCAGGCAGTATGATGAAAGGATTCAGCTTCCAGCTCTGTACTTCTTAGTTCTGTGACAATAAAGGCCAACGTTTTAGAGACTCGGCTGGGCCGCGTGTGACAGTGGTCCAAGTGCTGTGGCTCTGAAACAACTCTGGAGCCTTGAGGGGCTTCTACTGTGTAGCATAACTTTTGTGTAGCTATTGACAGTCCAAGCAGAGGGAAGGTTTTCTGACCTTCTTACTGTCAGCTGGGGTAGCTCAAAGGCGGGGGGCTGAAATACACAAACCCTCACTCTGTCCCATGCTGGCGCCTGGACTTGAACAGCTGTGAAGCAGAACAGCTGGATTCCATGGATTCAATTCTGTATCTTAACACTGTTACCAAAGCACATTAAATTCCGAAGATCTGCACTTATTCCACGGAGGTGCAGGGTTCCCAAAATCCAAGGATTAGCGAGAGAAAGGTTTGGTAACTGTACAGAATTTATATGATATTCTGTTCATTAAGAGTGAGTCATTTCACATTGATTCAAATTCATGTTTTGAGGAATTATTGTATTACACTTTTTGTGAAGAGTGTCAAGGAATTTGTAGACATGTCTTGAAGTGTCACATCCAGGATAGGTGCTGTAATCAATTTCTGACTCAGTGAATGTCAGAAGATACTCACTATGCATTCCGGCTTTCTTCTCCTTAACTGATCTATTTTCTCCCCTGGCAGCTCCACATCAGTTTCTCAAAGTACTCATTTGAAGAGAATCAGCTCGAGCATTATTCAAGTTCTACTGTATCTCATGTCTCCCTGGAAGGTTTCACAGAGGTATTCAAACAGATCCTTCTGTGCTGGCTGAGATATCTGGTTTATATCAGCATTCTCAGACAGCTAAAGTCATCCTTTAGAAGGGATCACGAGAGGCAAGTTAAACCCACACTGGCTTTCTTAGGGGCAAGTCAGCCTCTTCCTTGGCAAGATTTCAACATGCTGTGGAACACTGCATAGGCTCCAGGAGGTTCCAATTTTGAAGAAAACCAAGAGCGGAGTAAGAATTGCCTCGTCAGACCTAAAGCAAGAGCAAAAAGAATGCAGAAATTGTCATTGTCATCTACAAGAAGTTCAGTTTTAATATATAATGGACTCCAAGTTTAACGCAGCTACTAGGTAACTCTAACTATACACACTAGGTAAATATTTCCTTCTTTGAGTCCCAGTCTTGTGTACTTCTTTACCCCTGTCTTCACCTAGACATTAATGAATCCTTCATAACCAGTGAAGATAGTCACTTCTATTTTAACTGACCTGGCATAAGGCATAATAATCATTTCCCTCTGTCTTTACATGTACATCATGGATTTATATCACCAGAGTGAAAATACTTCATCAATTCTTATTTATTTTGTTGTCTAATTTCTTCATCTGGGATGACAGCTTCCCACAGAGTAGACAGATACCTTGCTTTTCAATCTATCTATAGTATTCAGTCTATCACCCCTTTCATAGTATATGGTGTGTAATATGCAGGGGGCTAATGGAGAGAATGGGGTGTCTTTCTGTCTTTTATGATAGCAGCAAGCAAGACAGCATGGAGTTATACACTTTCAAAATACTGGTTTATCTTTAAAAACGTTTACAAGTGAATATTCAACAAAGGAATGATGAAATCAGAAATACAGAGAAACAGACATGTTCATGTGTTTCCACTTCTCACCCGTCTAAAAAATGAGTATATCATTTCTTGAATTTCTTATTTTCAGAAACCTGGGAGAGCTGTACATGATTATTCAGGGAAGACTGACCAGGGTGAAGACAAGATTCAAAACGAGGTTACATGTGTACAAATTGAGGAGCCCAAGAGAATTTTGTTTGTTGATTAAGCTAAAAAAAAAAAAAAAAAAAAAAAAAAAAAAAAAGGCGAGACAAAACTATCTAAGGCGTTTTAGTTAGTTTTTGCTCCTTGTTGAGATAAAATATCTGATGCCCAAAGTTAGGGAAGGAAAGATTTATTTCTTACAGTTCTTGGAGGTTTCAGTCCATACTCAGCGGGCTTCAAGGCAGGGTGGCACGGCAGGGCAGACATTCATGGCTGTTGCAAACAGCAAAAGCAAAACAGAAGAGAAAATAGGGCCTTCTTTCTATCTTTATACTGGCTCCAACCCCTAGGTGGGTGAAGCACACACAACATCGTCTGAGTGCCAGACAACAAACCAATCACAAATGCTAGACTCATCTTCATCCATATTACATGAGACCTGGGGGAGAGCAAGCAAATGAGTATTTAAAGTCTAACACAAAGATAGCTAATTTTGATTGTATAAAGGACTGTAGAGTAGAAGAGAAATTCAAATTTTGGGGTAGTTGAATGGGACAATGTTTCAAAGGACTAAAAAATGATTACACTTTTGAACTTTTGTGTTGAACAGAAAAGGGTAAACAAACAGAAAAGGGTAAACCAATTCTGCTATTAATTAGCTATTTTGTTGAGACAAGTGAATAAGTATTACTGAGACTTGTGCTCCTTATTTCTAAAATAAAGGTGCAGACAATAACCTACCTCAGAAGTATAGTTTGAGGATTAAATAAAGTAAGAATTGTATAGCAACCAACAAATTTTCTGAATTATAATAACAAGTCAGTCTGTTTGAGATTTGAACTGATTACAATAACCAGTGCTTCAAATATTTGTTTCTGACCAGGAATTCAAGATCTACCAAGGCAAGAAGACTTCTCAAATTTGCTAGCTAAGACTGTAAAAAGCAGAGGATAGATGGAACAGTGCCAATAAAGACAAACTATTTCTGGATGGCAAAGGCCATGGCCAAGAAATTCAGGAGACCATCTCTAGCAATGCAGGCAGGAAATGGGGCAAGAGAAGAGAGTATCTTTGAAGTAACATGTACCACCATATATAAATCTCTTGGTTCATAATTTTGTCATCATTTATTACCAAAGAAGCTTACAATTGATGATGATCACTTCATTATTTTAAAAATTAAAAACCTGAGACTACGTGTTTGTATGAAGAATATGAAATTTGCCAATGAAACTTACCAATGGATTTGAAAGAATATACATTCCAATTGGGGGAAATACTTTGCCCAATGACATTTGCACTCTTTATATGACACTATTCCATGCATAATGTAAGGGCTAATTGGGCAGTGTTCTGATTGTTCAGAAAGAATTATAAATATTACTTATCACCTTCCAGTCACATATCTCCATTAATATGTGCAAACCTCATTGGCCTTGTTTGGCAGTAACTGAATTAGTGAATCATATTGAGTTATTAGTAATAGGCACTATTTATTAAGAACTTAAAATAAGGTACCTCTAAGAAGTCATTTTGTGGCTTTAGTGAATTTGTTTTGCAAATGTGCAGTATTTAATTTCATGGCACTTAACATTAAGAAACATAATTCCTCTTTGGAATAATGGGGAAGAATCAGCTTTGTTGGGATGGAAAGCAAGATTAGCACCCCTATTTTTCTCTCATCCAACGGGTCAGGCTGCCACAGTGAAATGCTGGGCAAGACAGAGAACCACAGAAAGGACCGGAAATTTGGGAGTGCAGATGCACAAAGGGCTGTGTGGTCTACCTACTTCTATAACCTCAGATGCATAGAAAAATAACCTCATAGCAAGCAGTTATAATTACAAACATGACGACATTTGAATTTGAACCCTATTTCTTGTGTTATTTATGGACATTTTAGGTTTGTTTCCCTATTTTTAAAATAAAAAATAAATGTGGAAAGACTAATTTTAGAGATTCTTCTAAGCTGAACAACATTCTTATTTTGTTCCTGAAATAGAAAAACCCAGTTCAATGTATGGCATTAGAATTACGTATTTTTTTCTTCAAATGTGAGTGTTATAGAATCGCAGACAATGGGAATGTCATCAACAAAAAAGAAACATTCAGTTCTCTTGTGGATCCAGTTTAAAATCCAGTTACAAACATTGGTGATAATTTTTGAGTTATATTTTCCCTTATATGAGTATTTTGGTGTGAAATTTGAAATAAAATACAATTTGTGCTGTTTTGAAATTAGAAGCAGGTGACATAATATTCTTGTACCTCAAAATAAGTTTGATAGGTTTTTTGGCACAACCTGCTCAAGAAATGACTTTAACATTAGAGCAAGGAAAAGTGCTCACCTGCTAACTGGAGAGTGTCCCCGGGGGTTATGTAAAATAAATTCAGGCTTAACAACTTTGAAAGAGAAATTATTTTAGAGTGTTCATCTTTAAAATGCAAATGGAATGTGAAGGTGTACATTGGCACTTTCTCTCCCTGTGGAATTTTGTAACCACATATTATTTTATCATTCCTGTTCTCCACCAGGGATTCAGTGTTCCAGACAGCTAAAGGACTGGAATTCTCCCTCCTTGTTTTTCTCTGTTTTAGGCAAAACAAGCTTTTCGTAGAAGATAAGGCAAATCACTATTATAAAGCACTTTTTGAAATTCCAGAGTCTTGATGTGTACTTGTGTAAAGGGACTGGACAATAACTAACCAGAGTTGTGCAATAAAATGCACCACATGTGACTGAGTAGGAAATCCACAAACTCCCTTTTACTGCCAATAAGCATTTTGTCGAGAATTCTTTTCTGATAGAATTTACAGGCGCTCATATATACATAAACTCTTATGTACCATATCATGTTGATTTTCTATCTGCATATGGAATTGATAATGCAGAAAGAAACTCAGCTGAACTGGTTTGATCTGTGATTCTAAAATATATTGATTTTAAAAACTAACTGTGTAATAATATTTTACTGTAGGAAACATGTTTAACTACATGAAGAAACTGTTTTCAGTCTTCTGACATAATTTTCTCTGTCTAAATTGTTTTTATATCAATTATAACCCAGTTATGACATCATTGTTTAGATACTAATGATTTCTGTTTTAAGTTTGCTTGGTTTTTACTAATTTAATAAATGTGCTAGATACTCCATTATACTCAATTAAGCAATGATTGCATTTTATATTGTGTGGTGAGCTTAGTGTTAGTACCATTAACACAAAGCATGCCATATTTATTCTAATTCTGTTTATCAATTCATTGAGGAGCTGGTGCAGAGAATAGGGTGGTATATTTAAGTTCATTTGACCATTCTGTTACTATGCCCCACATAAAAGAATATTGGATGAGACATGATTTAGGGATAAGTAAAATAGTTCATAAAATATATAAATTATAAAATATTAAACTGTTTGAAATAGAGACCAAAAAAGATCAGTAACTTTCTTTGACTTTGTAAAAAGCTCTTGTTAAAAAGTGAAATTTAAACTTCAGTCTTTTGAAGAGGAAAGAGCTATTGCAAAATGGAGAATACTGTGTGAACACAGAGAGGGGCATAGAGAGCACTAAGCACAGAGATTCATGGACAGCGAAGATAGTTCAGTCTGATACTTATTTGTAAAGCCTTCCATTACACGGCCCATGGAACCCATCAATAGCTCTCACACTAAATGAGTTTTCCCTGTCTTTCCTGAAGTCTTGTGCATGACAAAACTACAAATATTTTTTTGAATTTTTGTTCCAAATTACTTTTATCACCCACCCAATAAACACACACAACTACATGCACACACATACACATCATTCACGGAAACAAAATAGCTATTTGATATTTCTTAAATTTCTTCTCTAACAATTTATTTGTATACCTGGTCTTTTATGCTAGGCTTCAGTTTTTGGCTAAGAAGTTGTTAGAGCCTCATAGAAGAGAGTAGAGAGGGCTCGTCCATGAAATATCTTTATGTTAAAACTCTTCTGCTTTCCTATGAAAATCACTTAAACTTGCTAAACTCAGAATTTATCTTTAAAAATCAAGCTAGAATATTTGTTATGTCCTATAATGAATATTCTACAATGCTCTTTGACTGTTACTATTTTGATGTATATGTTTGCAATATATAATGATTATATCCACTGTAGGTAGTTGGTATATATACAAAACATATTTCATTCCCCTGCACCCCATTTTTTTCAGCATCACAATCATATATAAGACCTTATAAAGTTAGTTACCATGTATATATAGCTTGAAAACCAGATCAATGTGTTAAAGAACATATAATACATGCAAAACAACTGTATTAAGACATGGTATGCTTTTAGATCTATTGTCCACACTGGTTACAATACATATTGCTCCTCTTTTTTCCTATTATCTATCATGGGAAATGGTTTTTCATGTAAGAGAAACTATGTGATATTTCAGCTTGGTGTCTGAGTTACTTCATTTACATTATAGTCTCAAGGTGCATCCATTTGCTACAAATGTATCAAGTTTATGGCAGAGTAGTTCTCCATTTGACTATATAAGACTTTGTTACACGTTTATCTGTTGAAGGACATACAAGCTGCTTTCAAGATTCAGCTATTATAAATTGTGGTGCTATAAACATGGGGATACAGACAACGGTGTGGTATGATGTCTTTAACTCTTTTAGAAAGATACCTACAGAAACTGTTGAGTGAATTGGAATTTCTACTCTTAGTGTTTTGAGGAATATCCATGTTGATAGCAGCACACTCATCAACAGTGAAGACGCGTTTCTTTCTCCATAACCTCACCAGCATTTGCTTTGGGTTGGTTTATTGATGGTAGGCATTCTTAGCAGAGTGAGATGGCATCTCAGTGTTTAAATTTCCATTTCACAAATATGAACTGGTGCCTATTTCAACAGGCACTATGAATATCTCTTTCTTTACTTTGAATAATTAAAGCTTTGTCAAGTATTTTCCCAAACATCTTATATTAAACGTCAGTGACAGGCATAATCGTTTGAAAGTATATGTTCATCTTAGAAATTGATGAATATTAATCAGAGTGAATCTTAGTGTGAAACGATGAGAATTCACAATAGAAATTTTGATTTTAAAATAAACTTAAAGCACATTCCATTTATATAATTTATATGATACCAATATGTTATGATATTGTATTATGTTATTAGTATGTCTCAAAGAGTGTCTCAGATGTAATTTTAAAGTTGTTCCGAAGAATTGTAATCAGACTAATTGTGTTGTTTTCAACATCACTGATATAGAACTTCCTTGAATACAAACAAATGACATTCCTGGTTTTGTTTCTTTTAAACAGACTAATACATGGTCATAATTTCTTATTTACATCTCAAAAATGAACCCAAAGAGTACAATTGTGTGTGTGCAAACTCACCCAGGGAGACAAGTTCGTTCACATGCACTAATTCTTAGTCGTCCTGCCTTCTCATTTTAGGATATC